AGTATTGTGCCTGATGGTGGGGGACTGCAGACAGGTCCAGCACTCCGGTGGGCGACCGGAGGCTGGTGCCTGTTCCCCCCTTCTCCCCCTTCGCCATCCTTACCCAGCCTTGCCTGGTTCTGCTGAGTGGGCGCTTCCTACTCTCTGCCAACCAATTCAGTTCCATCAGTGTGCGATCCAGCAGAGGGAATGGGCGTAACTTAGTTGGTCCACCCATGAACTCAGTCTGTTGAAATACAGACCTTACTTCGAATGCAAACGAAACTAGATGAATCACAGGGATAATTGGTGGAAAGCGCCCACGTGAAAGCCTTTTTGGTTTTGGGCGCCCGAAAAAACCTGGGCCTGTACTATGCGCCCAGGGAAAATGATAGGGGGGGTAATTTCATCCCACGTTGGGCCCTACCTGAGGCGGTTTTCCCTAGGCCCTACCGGCTTACCAGCCTACCAGCCCGACATGGGATGAAAATAACCCTGGATCCTTTTCCCCAGGCGCATAGTACTGGCTTGTTTTTTTTCGGTCGCCAGAAACGGAAAAGGTTTCCGAACGGGCGTTTTCCACCAATTTGTTCTTGAATCGGATCAAATACTCTGAATTGCCATACAGACCTTGCTTCGAATCCAAACGAAACTCAAATCAAATACTCTGAATTACCTGGGGTCGGTCAGCTATGATGATAAATATCCGCCAAAACATAAAAACAAGGATTCCAGACAGAGAAAAAAAGAGGCAAAATGCATAAGAGGACAGCTGACAGGTGAAATCCACTTGGAAATTGTAACAATTGCTATCGAGTGATCTCTTCTAGTTTTCCTGTCATTGCTGTGTTACAAAATTGCTAAATTGCTATCTTGTTTGTTCCTTTCATTGAAGCAATGTAAGCATTGCAGTGATTGCACACATTGGTGACAATGTCAGCTTCTCAGGTTGGGCTCATTGCCAAAGTTCCGTAACCAGAACAGAGTCGAACAATTGTTCCGTTTAAAGTTGGAAGCTGCTGAGTACGTGTACTAACACCTTGATGTTGATTGGGTGCATCTCAGGGGTATTAAGGTTGGTGGCGCTGTGCAACAGACAGTTATTTATTGCCCATGGAGGCTAAGCAGGTCACTGGAATGGCACAAATTATCCAAAATGGTGACTTCTCAAAAGGGATACTGGGCTGGGTTCCTATTGGCCCTTGTGAGCTTGTGAGTGAGGAAGGACACGAGGAAAACATATGCAGAAGCGAGCCAAGCTTGAACCATGACAATGACCATGCAATTAGACGTTTTCACTTCGTCAGGATTTTCAACAGGTCTGCACCATGGCAGGGTCCCAGCCAAGCGCTGACTGGCAAAGTCCTGAGCTCTATTGAATATTGCGCATCTGCAAGTGTTCGGATTGTCGGTGCCAAGTCCAGCACGATGATTATGAAACTGAAATTAGAAAAGGAAGGTGTATTGACCAAGTACTTGAGGCTTGGAGAAGTCAAGGCAGTAAGTAATCAGTGGACAGACCTTGTTGGGTCCTTTGTTCTGGATGAAGAATCAAATGGCGGGCACATGCTGCTGTACCTGGAAGGGCCTCCAGTGGGAGTGGACCTGCTTGTCAGGTCTGTAAAAGTGCATCCAATGGATGAGCATGCAGTGAGGAAGTATATTACTTCTCATCTTGATGAGGTAAGGTCTGGTGCTTCCCTTTTTTTCTAGGAAGATTCTCACGCCCGGCCGGGCACCCGGACGTGACGCCGGGGGGGGTCTGATGCCCGGGGTACCCGGGCGTGCAAAAAAAAAAAAAAAAAAAAAGAAGTTTTTTTTGTTTTTTTTTTGTTTTTGTTTTCTGCGCTCTCCCAGAGGACTCCAAATCCGGGCTCATTTCGTTTTTTGCGAGTTGGCTGTCAAGAGGGGGGGAGGGGGGTATAAATTGGATTTAAAGGGGCTAAAGGGGTCTAAAAGGGGGTGCCTTTGTGTGATTCTGTTATTTTCTTTTTTATCTCCGATTCTGTGAGGAATTATAATGTGACCCTCAGCCAAAAGTGGTTTGCATTTCAATCCTACACAACATATTTTTTTTTCCGGAATTTTTTGAGTTTTTTTTTTTTTTTTTTTTGGCGCTGGGGCTGCCCGGAAACCTGCCCGGGGGTCATGCCCGGCCGGGCACCCGGGCGTGTACCCGGGCATAAGTTGGGTGCCCGGGCGCCTGGGAAAGTTTTTTTTTTTTTTTTTTTAATTTGGACCATTTCTCGATTTATGCGTGTCATCCTTGCGGAGGGGCCATGCTAACCTTCTCTGTATCGTTCCAATTTTAACGGATGTCCCGAAGGACAGGTCTGGTGCTTTCCAATTTTCTCTCAAACTCCAATCTCGGCACATTTATCTTTATTGCCTTGTGTGTTATGGAGTTGACTTCAAAGTTCAATCCCTTGACTGGACAGTCCATGTCATTCGCCGACTGCAGAAGTCACTTGTTTTCCCTGCTAAGCAATCAGTTAAGGGCTTAAGCCCCATTATACGTTCAAAGGGTTTTATCGCCTTTTGGGTCTGCTGTCAAGTTCAGTCAAGTCTTTGGCACCCGTCAAACCATGTGACCATTAGACCTATTTAGTCATGCATTGAGGAAGTGAATGCTCATTACAGTACCGTCTTCACCCGAATAGAACGCCCGGTCCTAATCTCCGTATCTGGACTGAAAGTTGACTCGAATACTGCTATATATAATGCCTTGGTGCTCTATCCAGTTGCTTCTTTGCACAGTCTTACCGCGGTCATGTTTACCAGGCTGCGGCCTATGAAGTTCAAAACCTTCCCAAGCAATTCAATATTTATTACTTTTTTTTCTTCAACTTTTTCATCATTACACAGAGCCATTGCTGAGGGGTTTTGCAATGATCAGTTCTGATGCTTGTCGACGCAGACACATGCACAGCTTGAAATTGTCCTCCGGGTGCAGATAGCTGACTAAACTGGGTGGGTCCTTACTGCAGATTGCTTTTACAAACCGTCTGCCAGTGGCCATGATCCAGGTGCAGTCCTCCACATCGGTTACCCTATGCCATGCCATCAATCTAGCCTTATTTATAACGTGCAACAACCCCATTAAATTTACCTCCCATCCGTGCTTCCCTCTTTTCTGCAGCATTGTCAACTCTTCTTCTTCTTCTTTTTTTTTTTAATTGTTATTAAAAGGTCCCAGTGCCCAAGGCTTCCATTATCGAATTGAATACAATGCACACACACACCTCTTCCCATTAGGGCTGATGCTCTCTCGTGGTTATGATTATCTTCCTGCTTGCTTATGCTTATTGGGTATGTAGCTGTACGGAGTCTCTCTGCTATGCTTGCCTATCCCAGCGTTCCAATATGTAATTCAAGACCTTTTGCTCTCTCTCTCTCTCTCTCTCTCTCTCTCTCTCTCTCTCTCTCTCTCTCTCTCTCTCTCTCTCTCTCTCCAGAGGGGCACATTTTCTCTTGTTCTTCTTCTTCTTCTTCTTCTTCTTCTTCTTCTTCTTCTTTGTTTGTTTGTTTGTTTCCATGCACAGGGCGCACCTCCCTCAGCGTGCGCACTGCGCACCAGCCTGCACCGCACTGCACTGGTGCGCCGCAACTATGGTTCCCTCCCTTCCTCCTCCTTCCCCCCTCCTGCCTTCTTCCCTCCTCCCTCCCTCCCTCCCTCCTTCTGTCCTTCCCTCCCGTCCATCCTCGTTCCCTCCCTCCTCCCTCTCTGTCTGCCTGCCTCTTTCCCCTGCTCCCTCGCTTTTGCCCTCCCTACATTCCCCTGTCCCTCTCTCCTCCATCACTCCCTCCCTCCGTATGCCTGCCCCCCTCCTGCCTTCTTCCCTGCTCCCTCAGCGCGCGCACTGCGCACCAGCCTGCACCGCACTGCACTGGTGCGCCGCAACTATGCTTCCCTCCCTTCATCCTCCTTCCCCCCTCCTGCCTTCTTCCCTCCTCCCTCCCTCCTTCTGTCCTTCCCTCCCGTCCATCCTCGTTCCCTCCCTCCTCCCTCTCTGCCTGCCTGCCTCTTTCCCCTACTCCCTCACTTTTGCCCTCCCTACACTCCCCTGTCCCTCTCTTTGTCCATCTACTTGACTATTTTTATGCATTCAGCGTTGATGTTAGCTCACTTGTCATACTTCACTGTGATCTTTCTTCCCTGCTATGTATCTCTCCTTCTTTCCAGAGCTCCTCATGTATGCCCTCCTGTCCTCCAATGCCTTCCTCAATCGCCTGACTCTTCCATTTTGTAGACTCTCCGTCCACCCGCCCCTGCTCGTTCCCTTCTCTGAACAGCCTGCCCGTCCTCGGTTTGTGCACCTGCTGATGATGGTGCTGCATTTTTATCCAAGCTTGGTGCATGAAAGCTCACATCGTTTATATCTCAACTTGCAATTGGTCCTGACTTGAACAATTGCAACCGATGCCAAAAGGAGAAACAGAAGGACCTCGTAGAGAAACCCGAAAGTCTTGGGGGTCTGTTCTCATGCCTATGAAGTCAAATACCAAGCTTAGAAATGGAGTCGTTCATACGTTCATTAAAATAATGGAATTCACCTCTGGTGGTGAGTGGTTGACGCATGCAGCTCGTGGTAAGCAGATCCGAAGCTCAAAGCCTCAAACACTTTTGAGTTCAATGATGTTTGGAGCTACCCCCTTAAAACAAGGAGAGGGGGGTTAGGGGGGGAAGGGTGAAAATAGAAGCAATTTCTCAAAGCTTGCTCCAGGTTGCCAAATGGAACAGGGTTTTCTTCCTTTACCTTGATGTGAACAGTCAACAGTATGGTATTGGTTGAGGAAGTATGTCTCCAATGAGCTAGTGATGTTGCACCTTGGCGTGGTACTGGTTGTGGAAGTATGTCTCCAATGAGCTAGTGATGTTGCAGCTTGGCGTACCACCATGCTTTGTATTTTGCATGAAGTCGTTCATATGCTCGAGGAACTGGGCTTCTCTGTTAAACAGTAATTTCATGAAGTCGTTCATATGCTTGAGGAACTGGGCTTCTCTGTTGAACAGCAACAAGTCATGCTTTGTATTTTGCATTTCGCAGGGCTTGGGAGGATGGACATGCACACCCAAAGAGAGAGAGAGAGAGAGAGAGAGAGAGAGAGAGAGAGAGAGAG